TTTTTAATCCAGACTGTTTATCCAGACTTTTTATCCAGATTTTTAATCCAGACTGTTTATCCAGACTTTTTATCCAGATTTTTAATCCAGACTGTTTATCCAGACTTTTTATCCAGTCTTTTAATCCAGACTGTTTATCCAGACTTTTTATCCAGATTTTTAATCCAGACTTTTTATCCAGATTTTTATCCAGACTTTTATCCAGACTGTTTATCCAGAGTGTTTATCCAGTCTTTTAATCCAGACTTTTTATCTGGGCCATAGTTTCAGCCTCCCTCAGGTGGACGGCTGAGTAATCACTCAGTCCACACACCTTCCATTATTCACACGTCGACACGTGGCTTCAGATTACAGACAAATCAGATGCACCTGATCGCACCACTGATGAAGAACCTCCTCCTCCTCCTCAACAGCTGGCCCAGGTTTAATAAATTCAAATGTCAGCTGTCCGTTTGGGTTAAATATGATTTGTTGACGGTTTGCTTTTGTGGACCACCCTGTAAACCAGTTTGACCCTCGTCCTCTTCGACTTCCTCCTGTCCCTGAGACAAACTGAGTGGTGTCTCTGTCCCCTCTGCAGGTGAACTTTGTGGTGTGTCAGCTCTGCGCTCTGATCTCGGCCTTCTGGTTCCGTCTCTTCCTCCATCCCAGTAAGACCAGCCCCATCATCAGACACGTGGTGGCCACGGTTCTGGGTCTCTACTTCGCCACATTCTGCTTCGGATGGTGAGAACCTCATCCTGTCAGAAAAAACAAACAAAACGATTTATCTGTTTGGTTCGGATCAGAAACCATAAAGTAACTTTTAAAAATTTCATTTGTCAGAATTTGGTAGCTGCTTAGAGAAACCGTAAGTTTGTTGTGTTCCTGATGGGACCGTTTCCTCCTCCTGCAGGTACGCGCTTCACTTCCTGCTGCAGAGCGGGCTCACCTACGGGATCATGATCCTGACCGGAGTGGAGCACATGCACAAGTGAGAACAACCTGTTGTCTTCACTTCCTCCTGACAGGCTTCAGATTTATTACAATAGCCTGATAAAAAGATGAACAGAGAACGTTCAGACAAAAAACACACACAGCTGCCTGCTACCTGACAAGCTGAAAGAGATGATGTCATCAGAAAAAACTATTTCTAAGATGGTGCATTTTAAAATCAGAAAATATTTGGTTTTAATCAAGTTCTGCAGTCAGCTAATGTAAAAAAAAAAACACATAAAGACAAAAAGATGCTTTAAAAGGTTTGACAGAAACTTTGGCCAAATGGTACAAAGAAAGTAATCTTACTTACTGAGAGGAGACAGAAAAACCAAACTAAGACACAATTTCTACTTATAATCACACAGAGCTGTACAACAGAGGATTAGGACCACTGGAAAAAAAATTCTGAATTTCTTTTCTCTGATTTAGGAAAATGTCAGATTTCTAAGTTTAAAGTCAGAAATATAGTGGTGTGAAAAAGTGTTTTCCCCCTTCCTGATTTCATGATTTTTTTGCATGTTTGTCACACCTAAATGTTTCAGAGCATCAAACCAATTTAAATATTAGTCAAAGACGACACAGGTAAACACAAAATACTATTTTTAAATGAAGGTGTTTATTATCAATGCTGCATTCACACCGAACGCGATTTCAGCTTCAAAATCGCAGCCAACGCTGAAGTTGGACGCTTGTGCACTTTGAGGTCAGATGCAGGTCAGCTCTTGAAGCGCTGCACGGCAACAGCCGCCCCGCCCCTCCCTCCTCTGTCGGGCTCTGTTTAATGTGGGACGAGGAAGTGGCTTTGCTTTATTTACAGAGCAAGAGCATGTCACGTTCATCAGATAATTAATTCATAATTAATTCACCAGATAATTCGGAGTAGAGGCTCACAGATCGCTTTCAGGACTATTTTTCCAGTCTGATGAGTCGCTGCCACGCATTGGTGAGGATATCTCCAGTCAGGACACCGACTGCAGGCACTCGATTTCAGCTAAAGAGCTCCTCTCCATCTGTTTCAGGTTAGTGGACATCATTYAGBAAACTGTCCCGTCGGGAAATATGTCGCTACGTCACACAGTGGAGTCTCTCTGATTGGTAAAGTTCAGATTTTCTAACTTCAGCGATTTGCGCCTCCACGCGTCGAACGCTCAGATCGTTCAAATCGTTCAAATCGCGCTGCTCTAATCGGGCTTGAGGCGCCGCAGCACTTCCCAACGTTGCTTGAAGCGCGTCCACCATAGACTTTGTCTGTAAACCTGCTGCTCCTGATGCTGAAATCGCGTTCGGTGTGAACGCACCATTAGGGAGGAAAAAAAATCCAAACCTACATGGCCATGTGTGAAAAAGTGATTGCCCCCCATGTTAAAACATAACTGTGGTTTCTCACACCTGAGTACACTGTCTCTAGCCACATCCAGGCCTGATTATTGCCAAACCTGTTCTCAATCGAGACATCACTTAAATAGGACCTGCCTGACCAAGTGAAGTCCACCAAAAGATCCTTAAAAGCTACACATCATGCCGCGATCCAAAGAAATTCAGGAACAAATGAGAAAGAAAGAAATTGAGATCTTTCAGTTTGGAAAGGGTTATAAAGCTGTTTCCAAAGCTTTGGGAATCCAGTGAACCACAGTGAGAGCCATTATCCACAAATGGCAAAAACGTGTAACAGTGGTGAACCTTCTCAGGAGTGGTCGGCTGCCCAAAATTACTGCAGGAGCACAGCAACAACTCATCCAAGAGGTCACAAGACCCCAGAACAACATCCAAAGAACCGCAGGTCTCACCTGCCTCAGTTAAGGTCTGTGTTCGTGCCTCCACCATCAGAAAGAGACAGAGTTCCTAGACAAAAACCACTGCTGAGCACAAAGAACATTAAAGCTCGTCTCAGTTTGGCCAGAACACATCTTGATGATCCCCAAGACTTTTGGGGAAAAGTCTGTGGACCAATGAGACAAAAGTTGGACACTTTGGAAGGTGTGTGTCTCAGTACATCTGGTGTAAAAGAAACACTGCATTCCAGAAAAAGAACATTATACCAACAGTAAAATATGGTGGTGGTAGTGTGATGGTCTGGGGCTGTTTTGCTGCATCAGGACCTGGAAGACTTGCTGTGATAAATGGAACTATGAATTCTGCTTTCTACCAAAAGATCCTGAAGGACAAAGTCCGACCATCTGTTTGTGACCTCAAGCTGAAACGAACTTTTGTTCTGCAACGGGACAATGATCCAAAACACAGCAGCAAGTCCACCTCTGAATGGTTGAAGAAAAACAAAATGAAGACTTTGGAGTGGCCTGGTCAAAGTCCTGACCTGAATCCTATTGAGAAAATGCTTTTCATGTTAGAAAACCCTCCAATGTGGCTGAATTACAACAACTGCAAAGATGAGTGGGCTAAAATTCCTCCACAACGCTGTAAAAGATTCATTGCAAACGCTTGGTTGCAGTTGTTGCTACTAAGGGTGGCCCGACTCCTGGATTTTCTTCTTTTGTCTCCACTTTGTAGCATGTTTGTTTCATGGCTCCTCCTAATCCACAGATCAAACATCAGAAATCTACAAACAGAAATAAAATAAAGGAACTAACGTCTGTGAGCTAATGACTTCCTGTTTCCTGCAGGTACTGTCTGGTCGTGGCCCTCAGTTACCTGAGTCTGTGTCAGATCACTCGGGTCTATGTCTTCGACTACGGGATGTATTCTGCTGACTTCACAGGGTGAACATTCCTCCTCAGCACTTGATTTCTGTGAATTACATTCAGCTGATGTTTAATTACAGTCATTGAGGTCTAACTCACGGGTGTTGCTGCTTCCACAGCCCCATGATGGTGATCACTCAGAAAATCACCAGTCTGGCGTTTGAGATCCACGACGGTGAGTCTGTTTCAGCTGCAGGACGTCTGACGCTCAGAACTGTGGTTTACCTTTGGTGTGTCTGTGTTTCTGACAGGGATGGCTCGGAAAGAGGAGCACCTGACCGCAGGACAGAAGATTTTAGCCATACGGTTTGTTTTCTTGCGTTTGAAGCAGGTATTTTTTTAATCAGAATCTGATGGTGGAACTGATCTGGGTGTTGGTGTGTGTGTTCAGGCGGATGCCGAGCCTTCTGGAGTATTTCAGCTACAACTGCAACTTCATGGGGATCCTGGCTGGTCCTACATGCTCCTACAATGACTACATCGCCTTCATCCAGGGAGACCCCTGTCACCACAGAGACCAAGAGGCCCACAGGAAGCCCAGGGGCAAGCTGAGTCAGGGCGAGCCCTCGCCAAATGTAGGTCACACGACTGCTGTGGTGCATGGTAACATCCTAAAGTCTCATTACTTCACAGAGTCCAGATTGTTTATATAAGACCAAACAGTAGGAGGCAATATTTGGATTGGTCCTCTCCGGTGATCAAGTGATAAACTAAAGCAGAGGAACTGTGTTTCCCCTCAGATGGAGGTTGTCCGTAAAGTGGCCACCTCCTTCTTTTGCCTCCTGGTTTTCCTGTCTGTGTGTAAAGTTTTCCCCGTGGAACGAAACGTTGATGACGACTTCATCGCCAACACGCCGTTCTACGCTCAGGTGGTTTACCTATACCTGTCCATGGTGACCACCAGACCCAAGTATTATTTCGTGTGGACGCTTGGTAGGTTCTGTGTTCATCCTTATTTTTTGTTTTATTCAACTCCACAGTGTGTTTTTACAAGTCTAACCTCTTGTTTCACCCAACAGCTGATGCCATCAACAACGCCGCAGGTTTTGGTTTTAACGGCTATGACAGTAACGGTTCTCCTCGCTGGGACCTCATCTCCAACCTGAGGATCCTCAACATCGAGGTTAGGACTCACAAGAGTTTATTTAACAGTAACCGGTTCAGAACCACAGCAGGTCTGATTCGAAACTGTCTTTTCCAGTTTGCCACCAGTTTTAAAGTTTTCCTGGACAACTGGAACATCCAGACGGTCCACTGGCTCAAAAGGTCTGTCCGGAGACCCCATCCTGTTCACATCTCACCCGTGTGTCTTTTTTCTCCCGTACGGAACATGTTTGACCTTTAACCTTTGGTGTACAGGGTGTGTTATGAACGATGTCCCTACCACCCCACAGCAGCCACTTTCATCCTGTCAGCCATGTGGCACGGAGCCTATCCAGGATACTACCTCACCTTCCTCACCGGGATTGTCGTCACACTGGCTGCCAGAGCGGTAAGCTGCTCCAAACTGAACTCCACCAACCCTCAGGCACACATAGACACACACAGTTTAAATATTTATCTAGATAATTGGTAATAAGGATGATTTGGTTGGATTGGGTCGTGCTTAGGATGGAAACAGCTGGAATAACCCCTTCAGTTTGGGAGAGTCTTTGCCTCAGGTGGAGGAGTTTGAGTTTCGAGTGATCAGATGAAGCAATAGATGGATGGACAGATCAGGAACTTGTCTTGAGTAATGAGAACATCGCTCCAGTCGGTGAAGGAAAAGTTGAGTTGGACAGAAAAAATCTGGAATTACTGGTCTGTCTGTGTTCCAACCCTCACCTGTGGTCCTGAGGTTTGGATCAGGACTGAAAGAACCAGATCTAGGATACAGGATGGATGGACGGAAACATGGATGAATGAATGAATGAATGAATGAATGAATGAATGAATGAATGAATGAATGAATGAATGAATGAATGAATGAATGAATGGATAGACAGAAGGATATACATTTTGTATTCATTTTTTCCATGCAGGTCAGACACAAAGTCCGGCCGTACTTCCTACAATCTACGACCCACAAACTGGTCTATGATGTCATCACATGGGCGGCCACTCAGATCGCCATCTGCTACACAGTGGTTCCTTTTGTCCTGCTGTCTGTGGGGCCATCTTTAAAGTTTTACAGGTCAGTAGTTAACGTACGTAATTAGATTCAAATGAATTAAATTTGTCTGTAACATTCAACTTGGCATGTCTCAGACTTTGGTTCATTTTCTATGATTTTCAGACAAATTAAAGTCATTATTGCTCATTTTGTACAACAGAAATGATTTGGGTTATCTATCTCAGATTTATCTCAGGTTTATCTCAAGTTTATCACAGATTATCTGATTTTATCTCAGGTTTATCTTATTTTTATATCAGGTTTATCTCAGATTTATCTCAGATTCATCTCATATTATCTGATTTATCTCAGGTTTATCTCATTTTTATATCAGGTTTATCTCAGATTAATTACATATTTATCTCAGGTTTATCTAGAATTTATCTGAAATTTATCTCAGGTTTATCTCAGATTTATCTCGGATTTATCTCATATTTATCTCACATTAATCTCAGCTTATCTGATTTATCTCATGTTTCTCTCAGGTTTATCTCAGATTGATCTTAGGTTTATTTAAGGTTTATTTTTATTTTTATTATTCGTTTTATTTGATCAAATCAGATAAACCTGAGATAAATCAGATATTCTGAGATAAACCTGAGATAAATCAGATAAACTGAGACAAATGTGAGATTTATCTCAGGTTTCTCTCAGGTTTATCTTATTTATCACAGGTTTCTCTCAGATTTAACTCAGGTTTGTCTCAGGTTGATCTCAGATTTATCTCACATTTATCTCAGGTTTATCTCAGGTTTCTCTCAGGTTTATCTTATTTATCTCAGATATTTATCTTAGGTTTATCTCACATTTATCTCAGGTTTGTCTCAGAATATCTAATTTATCTCAGGTTTATCTCAGGTTTATTATTACTTTTATTATTCATTTTATTTTTGATCAAATCAGATAAACCTGAGATAAATCAGATATTCTGAGACAAACCTGAGATAAATCTGAGATAAACCTGAGATAAATCTGAGAGAAACCTGAGATAAATCAGATAAACTGAGATAAATATGAGATAAACCTGAGATAAAT